CTTTTTTTTTTTTTTTTTGTGGTTTATGGGAAATAAGAGTTTCATGGAGTTTCCCACCAAGGCTGGCTTCAAACTGAGATCCTCGGATCTTACCCTCCTGAGTAGCTAGGATTACCGGCAACTCATTTGTGCCCAGCTAAGGGACATGTTGTTTTGCTTTTTTAGGACCTATAAAAATATGGGGGTTCTTAAAGTAGTTAATAGCCTTCTAATGAGGAGAATGGCCCAGAAAAACTCCAGGTGGTCCCTTATTAGGGAATAATTGGGTTTCTGGTTGGTTTTTCTTTCTTTGCCTTCTCCTACCTCAGTGACAAGCACTATCCATGGTGCCCCATGCCCCTTCTCTCTCATTGGGAGAAAATTATAGCACCTGCCTCAGTACCCACCTCTCCAAAAGCTGTCTTCTCACTCCAAGAAGAGAGCATTGGCCCAAATGCTAGAGTCTTGCCTTTTTTCCCAAAGGTGCCTGATCTTTAAGACTGCATGGGAAACAAATGCCTTCTCCACCTCTCACTGTGGGTCATACTAGTTTCCTCCTTAACCTAAATTTTGTTCTAGCCACTAATTCATCCTAACTCTTCTCTACTCTGACTTTCCTGCCCAAGGTCTGTTCCCTGGTTTCCCAGACAGCACGAAGACAAATCCCTCCCTGGAGAGCAAAGTTATGACAGGAGGGAGGAAGAACATGGGATCATGTGAATAAAATGGCACTGAAGACTCAGCCAGGGAGACTGATTTTTACTGTTGCTGCTCTCTTCTTTTTCTGCCCTCCAAAACAAAGGGGTAGCCAGGCTCTGGTGACTCAAGCCTATAATCCTTACTATTCAGGAGACTGAGATCTGAGTACGGAGGTTCAAATCTAGCCAGGGCAGAAAAGCCCATGAGACTCTTATCTCCAGTTACACACACACACACACACACACACAGAGTCATAAGTGGAGCTCAGGCTCAAGTGGTAGAGCATTAGCCTTGAGCAAAAGAAGCTCAGGGTAAGCTGGGCACCAGTGGCTCATGCTTGTAATCCCAGCTACTCAGGAGGCTAAGATCTGAGGATAACGGTTCAAAGCCAGTCTGGGCAGGAATGTCTATGAGACTCTTATCTCCAGTTAACCACCAGAAAACTGGAAGTAACTCTGTGGCTCAAATGGTAGAATACTCGCCTTGAGCTGAAGAGTTCAGGGATGGCACCCAGGCCCAGAGTTCAAGCCCCACGACCCCTCTCCCCCCAAAAAAATTCTTTTCAGAACTGGAGGAGGGGAAAAGAGGTAGCCTTATGAACAATATGTCTCTGAGAATATGACGGAGGTACCCAACTAGACCAATGAGGAGCTGAACACTCTGACAGCTAGAGAAAGAGCTGTTTGGTCCTCTTAACACAAGGTCAAACCAGGCACAGGTGGCTCATGCCTATAATTCTAGCTACTTAGGAGGCTGAAATCTGAGGGTAACAGTTCAAAGACAGCCTGGGCAGACAATCTGTGAGTATCTTATCTCTAATTAACCAGCAAAAATCCCAGGCCTTGAATCTAAGCCCCAGTACTAGCACACACACAAAAAAATCAAATAAAAAGAACACAAGAGGGCTGGGAAATTGGCTCAGTGGTAGAGTGCTTGCTTTGCACGCATAAGGCCCTGGATTCTATTCCTCAGCACCACATAAGCAGAAAAAAGCCAGAAGTGGTGCTGCAGCTCAAGCGGTAGAGCACTAGCCTTGAGCTAAAGAGCTGAGGGACAGCGCCCAGGTCCAGAGTTCAGGCCCCACGACCAAAACAAAAACCAAAAAACCCCACAAGGTTAGCCTTTATTAAATATGCCAAACTGCTTGGCACTTCATACATAAATATCTCATTTAATGTAACAATCCTACAGGATTGAAATTAACCTTATTTTGCAAATGGGGAATTCCAAGGTTCAACAAGGATAATTAGATTGCCCAAAGTCACAAGCAAGTAAATGTGATTGATTCTCGAGGATTCCAAAGCCCTTGCTTATTTTTACTAGCCATTAATTTTACCCAGGGAGAACATGACTCAGATAGACAGCCTCCCAGCTGTTGTCCTCAGTAAGCTAAGAGTTTCATTGCCACTCCCCCTCACCATTGTCCTTCCACAGATGACAATTGGAAGTGCTATTTGCGATGAGGAGGAAATGGATGGAGTTGAGGACTTAATTAGAAGTAAGGGGGCACCTCCCAGGAGGGAAAGAGCCTGGAAAAATGGTAGCCAAAGGCATGAGGTCCATGGTTCATGCTTGTTCTGTAACACCTGCGTGTTTCTCATGAAGAGACATTTGATTAGGCCTTAGGTCTCTTGACGGGTGACATTAGCAGGGAATGAAAGGCTGGTAGAGTCTGTAGCTGAAAGGATCGTGTCCACGATTGAGTCTGTGGGTGAGTGCTCTTGGTTCAAAGTAGGGGCCATGGCTGAAGGAGTGCTCTCCAAGGTTGTGTCTGTGGTTGAAGAAGTGGTGGCCCCAAATGATGGGTTAGTGACTGGAGTCTGGGGACGACAATGCATCCAGTTGCGGGCGATATTTTGGGGGTAGCCTTTCTCCACTCGAAGCTGCCGATTGAGGCGCCAGTACTCTTTGCCCTTGAAGAAGTAGACTCGACCATCCCGCCAGCTCATAGCAGCAGAGGGCTGGTCTGGCACTCCAGTAAACAACTCCTTGATTGGTTTGGGGTAGCGGCTGAAGTCAGTTTGTGCCAGCTCATCCCACTGCCAGTACCCTGAGCCCTAGTAGATGGGAAGAAGAAGAGAATGAAAGAACTTAGATATGTAGCCGGGCGCTGGTGGCTCACACCTGTAATCCTAGCTACTCAGGAGGCTGAGATCTGAGGATCACGGTTCAAAGCCAGCCAGGGCAGGAAAGACCATGAGACTCCTATCTCCAATAAACCACCAGAAAACCA